AGTGCAGAATTCTAAAGTCAGACTCTCTTTGGTTAAAAAAAAAAAAATCCCAGCTTTGCTATTTATGAACTAATGGCATGATCTTCATGAAGTTTTTAAAGCTTTGCCTCTGAAGCTCTCCATCTGTAAAATGGACATTCTGTTGTTTATCTTGTGGAGTTTTTAAGTGAGATAAATACCTGTACATAGTGCTATGGTTTGAATGTTCGTCTTCTCTGAAACTACTGTTGGAACTTAATCTCTAATGTGGCAGTACTGAGAGGTGAGTCCTTTAAGAGGTGACTGGGTCATGAGGGCTCTGACTTTATGAATGAATTAATCCATTCATAGATTAGTGGATAATGGGTTAACATAGGAGTGGGACTGGTGGTTTTATAAGAGCGAGAGAGACCTGAGCTAACACACTCAGCTCCCTTCCCATGCTATGCCCTGTGCCATTTCAGGACTCTGTAGTCCCCATTAGCAAGAAGGCTGTCACTAGCTGCACCCCCTTGACCTTGGACTTCTCAGACTCCATAACTGTAAAAAACAAATTTCTTTATAAATTACTCAGTTTCATGTATTCTGTTATAAGCAACAGAAAACAGACGAAGACACATAGTAAGTGCTCAACACATAATGAGTAATCTTATCAACCAGTTTCCATGAACAATAAAGGAACAGATGTGAGGTCATATTTTTATTTCACAGCAGGATGTTGTTGTTATTTATATGTCTGATTTTTTTTCCCCTTCGGGTCAAGGGGAATAGCATTGATTGGTAATATGCTGTCTGCTTTCAAACCCTGAAGGATTATTTTCAGAATGAAATGATCTGTAGTCTTTAAGGGGTGAGGGCGGGAGGAGCTGAAGAACTCTTGATCCTTCGAAGAGGTCCCAGTGGACTTGATTTCTCAGTGGAAACAAAGGGATTTCCTTCCTCAGTGGGAAAGAGACACCGAGTGATAAACCAAGCACCCTTTTTGAAGATTTCCCAGTATATTTGTCCCTAGAGGAGCGCGCCTCAGGGAGATTTATTGTTAGAAGCTTTTAGCCTCAAGTGTAATTTTTAAAAGTATGTATTTCCCTAGAAACAGAGTAGCTCCATTGAAAAGTCACAGGTGCCCCCAAGCTCTGCTGGGAAGGTTACCTCAAGTTTCATTTAATACCCGACTCAGACCTGGAGGCAAATTATTTAGTTCATCACTCCGAGAATGAATTTTTCCCCTTCTACTTCCCATTTCAGCCCCTGCCATCTTGTGGAAAGGGACCTGCTTTCCAAGAGATGAGAAATGGCCTGGAGTGAAGCCTGAGCCCAGGCACTGCGATTTCTTATCTCCCACAAATGTGCAGAAATATTTAGTCAGGGAGATCATCTTCCTGGAGAAATTGTCCATCCTACTCCTGGAGTGTTGCGTTAGTTGTAGTTTCTCCACGTGCCAGCTCGAAGATCAGGGTCAGAGTACAGTTGCTTATGTGGGAGGTAAAGCCACAAAACAGTGGCGGAACAGGGGGAAAATGAGACAAGGATGGGAAGGCAATCAGGAAAGGGCATGTGATCAAGCAAGGCACTGTTGTGGGCAATTGGAGCTTACACCTGCCAGGGGAGCCTGGGACAGTGGGGGACATGCACCTCAAAGAAACATTTGTGAAGGGTAGGGGAGCCAGGGTATTAATACACCAATTCTAGCTGTTATAAGTTGAGGGCTGTGTACTGGGGGTATTAAGTCCCTGGCAATTCCAGTCAGAGAAGGCCCTCGGTGGTCATAGAGAACATCAGGCCATGGTGCCCGGAGTCCAAGGGCTGGGTGGATGTGGGCAATGGCCAATGACAATGGATACAATCAGTGTATTGAATCTTTGGCTTCTAATTTCTTCCAAGTCTCCTTAACTTCTGTTCTTGGTGCCAAGGTGAAGCAGACAATTAAGATTCAGTGCTGTCCTTAGAATGGTCACACTTTAGTGAGGCCATTGAGGAAGCTGGCTAGACAGGTAGGCGATTTTGAGCCCGTGAGGTTAGTATTCTACAATGATATATTTAACAATCTGTGCATCATTTGTGATATGCATATTATTTATCAGGCTATACTCTAAGCATTTACCTTGATTAACTTATTTGATGCCCACAAGAACCCTCTAAAGTGGGTACATTTGTTATTTCTTTTAGAGATAAGAAAGTGGAGGTATAGAAACATTAAGGTGTTCCACTAGTCTGTAATGAAGTCAGGATTTGAACACAGGCTATTTCGAGAGCCCTGTTCTTATTCACTAGGCTATAGGTCAGGTCTTCCCAACCTTTACTATTATCGCCATTCTACACTGAGTAATTCTTGGTTAGCGGGCTGCCCTGTGCATTGTAGCATGCTTGGCTTGGCAGTATCCCCTCTACCACTAGGCAGGTACCAGTAGTACCTTCCTCCCTACATCCTGTTCTGACAACCAAAATGTCTCCAGACATTGCCAAATGCCCACTGGGTAACGGAAAGCCCCAACTGAGGACCACTGCTGCCTATTATAGGGCAATCAGTTTTTCCTAAGGAAGTGTTTACAGATGGCAAATGGAAATTTCTTTTCTTTTTGCTTAATCTTCCTTCTCATAAAAATAAGGAGAAAAGTTGTATTTCAGAGCTGATCACATCTCTAAATCAACAGCCAAATATCTCCCAGGGCAGAGAAAATGGAAGTAGAAATCAAGTTATTGAAAAATCAAGTTAAGTTGTGTGTGTGTATGTGTGTGTGTGTGTGTGTGTGTGTGTGTGTGTGTGTGATGTGCATCTGCCTTGTAAACAGGGCATCCTTGCCCACTGTGCTCTGCTACCAGCCCTTCTAACAGGCTGTTTCCATGGTCATTTTAAAAATGTTGTTTTAAAACTAATAAAGTTTTCATTTTCCTTGGGCGATTTTATTTGTGATGTTTTCCGAGTTTTGCTTTGAACTCTCATCCAAGTAAATACATCCTTCTTCCTTCTGTCACAAGCTGGGGGATTCCAAGCTTTATTTTCCAAATCCTCCCAGTCCTATTTTATCCATGTGGCTTCTTGGAGCTGATCAAGTCTGCAAACTGATCCTTGAGATTTTGGGGTGTTCTGTGTGAGATCAGTAGCCCTAACTTTGGCATTAAAGTGTCCTTGTTTGTCTCCTTTCTTTTGTCTTCCAGGATACTCTTTAAAAATTCAGTCAAATTTGGCTTTGTAGGTAATCTATGTGATCAGAGAAGCATCATTTCAGTGTTGGAATCCTGAAGAATTCACTTTTTCAGTTGGTCTTGGAAGTAAAATCCCAGAGGTTTAAGCATTCTTTATAGCAAAGCATTTCCATGTGCTGTGGATAACCTAGTAAGCAGTGCTTTGTGAATCTGCTTGCTTCTCTGTGACCAATGCTTTTGATGATCCCCGCTCACACTCATGAAATACGTGGTTACCCTAATGACTTAAATTCCTTTTGCATGCTATTTGTAGGCGGTGAAAGCCACTATGGTCAAGATTGTCAGCTCTAGAGTCAGATGGGACTGGGTTTGAATCCTGGCTTCACTGCTACTAGCTATGTGAGACTAAGCGAGTGTGACAGATGGAGTGATGGATCCCTGAAGATGCTAGTGTTTCAATCCTTGAAACCTGTGAATATGTTGCCTTCCCTGGCAAAAGGGACCTTGCAGATATGATTATGTTAAGAATCTTGAGGTGGGAGATTATCCTGAATCATCTGAATGGAACTGATGTCATCCCCAAAAGGAGGTCAGAATCAGGGAGGTTAGAAACTGCTAGACTGTCGACTTTGAAAATAGAAGAGATCATAAGCCAAAGAACATAAGAAGCCTTTACATGCTGGAAAAAGTAAGAAAATTGACTCTCCCCTAGACCTAGAGCCTCCAGAAAAAACACAGCCCTGCTGACACCCTGATTTTAGCCCAGTATGACCCAGTTTTGACTGTTGACCTCCACAACTGTAAGATCATGAATTTGTATGTTTTAAGCCACAACATCTGTGCTAATTTGTTATAGCAACAATAGGAAACTAATACAGCAAAGTGATGCAATCTCTCCTAACCATTGTTTGGTGGTGTGTGAAGTGGAATAATAACAATATTTACCCCCTCAAGCTATTGTGAGGTATAGAAGAGAGAGGCCCTTGGCGCTGGGCCCAGCATAAAGTACATATTTACGGGTACTGGATTGGTCACGGGTTTTTTATTTTGCCATACCTTAGCCGCTCCAGCATTCTTCCTATTATTAAGTCTCAAAAATACTTGTCTTTGATGGTTAATTGTATGTGTCAATTTGGCAAGGCTATGATGCCCAGTTGTTAGGTCAAACAGTGGTCTAGATGTTACTGTGAAGGTATTTGTGAATGGGATTAGCTTTCAAAGCAACTGATTTTAAGTAAAACAGATTGCCCTCTTCATAATATGGGTGGTATTTATTTCATTTGTTGAAGGCTTGAAGAGCAAAGACTGAAGTTTCCAGATGAAGACACCATTATGTCTCAAGACTGGAACATGGAAACCCTGCCTGAATTTTCTACTTGCTGACCTACCCCACAGATTCAGACACTAGCCTGCAACATCAACCTGTACTTGAATTTCCAGTCTGAGTGTCTGCCCTACAGATTTTGGACTTGCCAGCCCCCACAATTGCATGAGCAAATTTTAAAAAATAGTCTTCTTTCTTTCTCTCTCTCCATCTCATTGGTTCTCTTTTCCTCCTGCATACCCTGATTAACGCAGCATCCAAACTAAATGCAACATACCAAAAAATTTTAAGAGCATGAAAAAGGAAGAGGTAGGGATGACAGGCACCTATTATTAAAACTTCCTATGTTGTTAAGAACGTTGAATTTCCTCCTTGACATTTAAAAGGACTGCACCTCAGGTTTTTTTCTTTCAGTTTTAACTCAAAAATGTATAATTGGGATTATGGTAATAACACAATTGCTTAAGACAAAATATTATCCCAGCAAAAAAAACTGGGATAGTACTGTGACGTCTTTTTTTTCTTTCTTTCTTTCTTTCTTTTTTTGAGACAGAGTTTTGCTGTTGTTACCTAGGCTGGAGTGCAATGGCACAATCTCGGCTCACCGCAATCTCCGCTTCCTGGGTTCAAGCAATTCTCCTGCCTCAGCCTCCCGAGTAGCGGATTACAGGCACGCGCCACCATGCCCAGCTAAGGTTTGTGTTTTTAGTAGAGACGGGGTTTCACCTTGTTGACCAGTCTCGACCTCTTGACCTCGTGATCCACCCGCCTCAGCCTCCCAAAGTGCTGTGATTATAGGCGTGAGCCACCACGCCTGGCTTGTGATGTCTTTTATAATGGAATTTGACTTTGGACTTAAAGTAACAGTTGATACTCAGCAAGGATGATTAGAATAGGACCTTAGGTGAGTAGAATGAGGTAGATTCCCTCATTCTACTCACCTAAGGTCCTACTCTAAGATTCCTTATTGATTAAGCAGCTATAGAGTAAAGAATAAAGCCTTCACAAGGGAATGTCTGTTCTGATTGGTTAGTGCCATGCCAGTGCTATGTAGATTGCTGATTATTTTAGTATCACTCCTGCCTAAAAGCAATAGTTAAGAAGTAATATGCAATAAAGAATTGCTCAGCTATCCAAATTGTTCATGTCTACAAATGTGTAATTTCAGCAGATGTAACTAGTTTAAAGGAGAAATAGCTTATTTCATTTTTTTCTTGGATAAAATTTTAAATCCTCATTTTCTAGCCACTCTTCTTAGGACTTAAATACTGTGTTGTCTCTTGTTTACTTTTTTCTTAACAGGCAGAAGACAAGGGTGATTATTTTCAATTGGACAAATATTTAGATTTTCTCCTCTGAAGATAAGTCCCAGTGTCTCAATTGCTAATTCACTTATAATTCTCTATAAATTATTTCACTATTGGCCTTGGAAGAAAAGACCAACTCATTCATACGACTGGAATTTCTTCCCGCAATTTCATAGAGGAATTCATTTTCTAAACATGAGGATTGATCAATAAACAACTTTCAATCCCTAGGAGGACTTTAAAGGGATTTAGATTGTCAAACACTGACTCAGGATTTGTTCTGGTAGTTGTTAAAAATTACATAAACATAAGTGTTTTTTTCGAACTTCATCAACCAAAGAGTCAGTAGTAGGAGAAGAGAAGACTTGGACTTGTTATTGATTAGTTGCTATACATGCTCTTCCAAAGAAAGTTAATCAACAAGGTGTTGACAATATTAGCACAGTCTTACATCTCTCTTGGAAATTATTGCTCACAATTGCAGAGTCGCTGCTGCATTCCTCCTTCCTGCCAGGAACTAATAGAGGTGAGCTTGTTTGCTACACACCAACAAATTTTCTAAAAACCTGTTGACCGTTCCTGTCCACCAGCTAAGTGCTGCAGTACAGAGAGGCAGAACTTCTATGCCAGAAGAGGGAAGTCATTGCTTTATACACTCTCCATACTAAGCTTCCTAATGTAAAAGGCCATGTCTACCTTGTTAACCCAAATTCCAAGCACCTAGATTCTATACACGTCAAGGTTATGTATATAGAAAAAAAGATGGAGTGATTTGTTTTTCTCTATATGTTGAAATCACATTATAGGAAAGAGCAACTTAGAGTAAAAACACCGTTTATCAATGGGAATTATTTAATCTTCGATAAATGTTAAGAGTACATAAAAAGAAAACACAACTTATAAGGAATTTATACATGAAAATTATTTTAGGGGAATTTAAAACAAAAGGTGAGCCATATTAAATCAACTAATATTGCCCTGTACATGTTATATCATACTTAAGAGAAATTACATAAATAAGAAAAAACAATGAAATATTTTATATAATCATTTCTCCTTTCAAAGTTGAACTTTGTAGTTCTGGATGATGAGCTCAAGAGAACCATTAAGCTCTGCTATCAAAGGCAGAAATGATGCAAGGAGGGCCGGGCGTGGTGGCTCACGCCTGTAATCCCAGCACTTCGGGAGGCCGAGGCCGGTGGATCACGAGGTCAAGAGATCGAGACCATCCTGGTCAACATGGTGAAACCCCGTCTCTACTAAAAATACAAAAAATTAGCTGGGCATGGTGGCGTGTGCCTGTAATCCCAGCTACTCAGGAGGCTGAGGCAGGAGAATTGCCTGAACCCAGGAGGCGGAGGTTGCGGTGAGCCGAGATCGTGCCATTGCACTCCAGCCTGGGTAACAAGAGCGAAACTCCATCTCAAAAAAAAAAAAGAATCTTGACTTTGGTTTTTCAAAACACCTTTATTTCCCTTCTTCTAGCCAAAGATATTACATACCAAAACTGTGAGAAAGGGCTTAAACGGGTAAGTTCTATAAGTACAAAATGACATAAAAATGAGGAATAATTAACATGGTTCTCCAGTATCTATTGCATTCGTTAACAAGGAAATAATAACTTTCGTTTTTTTTTTTTTTTTTTGAGACGGAGTTTCATTCTTGTTACCCAGGCTGGAGTGCAATGGCGCGATCTCAGCTCACCGCAATCTCCGCCTCCTGGGTTCAGGCAATTCTCCTGCCTCAGCCTCCTGAGTAGCTGGGATTACAGGCACGCACCACCATGCCCAGCTAATTTTTTTTTTTTTTTTTTTGTATTTTTAGTAGAGACGGGGTTTCACCATGTTGACCAGGATGGTCTTGATCTCTTGACCTCGTGATCCACCCGCCTCAGCCTCCCAAAGTGCTGGGATTATAGGTTGAGCCACCGCGCCCGGCCAATAACTTTCAGTTCACCCTCACAACCCCACCTTAGTGAAATTTCCTCTCTGTTATTTTTCTGATACCAATTTTTAACGTTGTTTCATTCTCTTCTTATTCTCTCCTTATTTTTCTAACATTGTTTCCCCATCACCCTCTGTCACTCTTCGGAGTTTCAGTGTTGTATTTCTGTTTTCAAACGTGCTAATTAGTTAATTACTATTTAATCCTTCCACTTGGTGACCTTGGCACCTTATTCCCCTCACCCTAGTCCAGGCACCGGTTTATGCTGTGCCAGCCATAGGAAAGAACAAGAGTCATTTACTATGGTAAGTCAAATGACATGACTTTTTATAATGAAATGGAATGATGAGTGTTTTAACCTTAAGACCCTCTCTTTCCAAGGATAAAATATTAACATCATCTATTAAAAATTAAAAACAAGTTTAAGTTGCGGGTAAGGACTACCTAAGAGCAAAATTAAAAGTAAAAACAATGATTAAAAATCGCAAAGGAATCTTCGACACTTTAAATAAATTTTCTCTACTTTGAAAGCACATAGATTGCATAAAGAAGCATAGTATAAACATGGATAGATGTGTGCAATGTATGTGGCACATGCATTGTAAACATATTTACCATTGAACTCATGTGAACAATTTTTAAAAACTAAAACTTATGGGATAAAAATGGGCAAACACTGCTTTCACATAAGAAATACAAACAGTAAACATTTGAAAGTGCTCGACACTAACAAGAAATAAATTCATGCTAAAAAGGTATCTTTCTACCTATTCTATAAACAAGTACACACTTTAAAAAATACCAGTGCTGGGGAACGTTTGGTGAATCTGCTCCAGGAGGGCCAAATAGAGGCCGTTTTTATGTCTCATTATCTCCCCAAGATGGAAGTACCCTTTGCTGTATCTCTCTCCTGATTTAGCTCCTGTGGAGACTAGTTCACCAATCACAATTTCTAGGACCTTCATGTTAAATTTATATTTAGGGTCTCTTGACCTTTCCTTGCCCCTGCACATTGGTTGTGGCTACCATATCCTACTTAACAGGTTTTCCTAACCTTACTCTTGAAAGAGGAACTTTGTAAAAGCTGCTTTACTTCCTACCTGGAACTCTGCCTACTCAAGGGGGAGGCTGCCACACAAGGTGTTCAACTTGACTTAGTGTGCTTGGGACTTTCCCAGTTTTATCAGTGAAAACCCCTAGGAAAACCCAGGCAAACTGAGACTGGTCACTTTACTCCCATGTGAAATTAAACAGAAGATGCTGCTGTGCCCCTTTTTCAATATATTAGTTTTTAACAAAGTATTATAAATCAGGTGGCTTAAAACAACAACAATTAATTCTACCGTAGTTCTGGAAGCTGCAAGTACGAAGTCAAGGTGTCAGCAGCACCATGTTCTCTCTCACAGCTCTAGGAAATAATCCTCCTTGACTCCTCTAAGAAGTTTCCGATGCCAGGGCCAGCAATCCTTGGTGTTCCTTGGGTTGGTAGATGCATCACTGCACTCTTTGCCTCCATTGTCACATAGCCATCTCTCTCGGTGTGTCTTCATGTAATCTTTCCTCTGTGCTGTCTATGTCCAAATTTCCCCCCACCCTTTTTTTTGAGATAGAGTCTTGCTCAGTCACCAAGCTGGAGTGCAGTGGCGTGATCTTGGCTCACAGCAACCTCCACCTCCTGGGTTCAAGTGAGTCTCCTGCCTCAGCCTCCTGAGTAGCATGGGACTACAGGCGCCTGTCCCCATGCCCAGCTAATTTTTTGTATTTTTAAAGTAGAGACAGGGTTTCACCATGTTGGCCAGGATGGTCTTGATCTCTTAACCTTGTGATTCACCCACCTCAGCCTCTCAAAGTGCTGGGATGACAGGCGTGAGCCACTGTGCCAGGCCCAAATTTCCCCTTTTTATGAGGACACCAGTAGTATTGGATTAGAACCCATTCTAATAACCTCATCTTAACTTAGTTGAATTTGCAAAGATCCTATTTCCAAATAAGGTCACATTCTGAGATTCTAGGTGTTAGAAATTTAGCATATCTCTTTTGGAGGACACAATTTAACACATAACGCCGAGTCCTGCATTCTTTGGTCTTGTACAATGAACTCTTTAGTGTAAATTATGGAAAGTTGTAAACGCAAAATTGAGACATTTGTACTTCATCCACTAGGTATCAATGAGTCACTGATGGCTTCTGGACAAAGAAGTGACATGCCGTTAGTGTCATTTTAATAACATTAACATGGAAATAGTAGTGCACATGATGGATTGGCTCATGATGGAAGCTGGTTATTAGGACCGTGAGAAATCTCCTGGGCCTAGGGCCCAACTACAGTCACTGCCTGCTGCTGAGCTCAGCCTTTTGTCTGGGACAGAACACACATCTTCCCACACCAGAAAGTCCTGTAATCCTAAGGCAGTAAGCAGACATCCTGCTCTGTCTACCCTCTTGTGAAAGACTTTCTTATCAAATAATAGGTAAGAATTTCATTTCTTAATTATTTCTTCATGTTCAGTCCATGTCTTAGTCTGTTTTGTGCTACTATAACAGAATACCACAAGCCAGATAATTTATAATAAACAGAAATTGATGTGGCTCGTGGTTCTTGAGGTTTTGAAGTCTAAGAGCATGGTGCTGGCATCTGCTGAGAGCCTTCTTGCAGCATCATGATGTGGTGGAAAGTATCCACAAGGGTGAGAGAGAGTGTTTGAGGGAGTGAAAGGGAGTCAAACTTGCTTTTGTAACAAGCTCACTCTTGTGATTCTAAACCCACGCCCATGAAAATAATGTTAATCCCAGCTGGGCATGGTGGCTTATGCCTGTAATCCTAACACATTGGGAGGCCGAGGTGGGTGGATCATCTGAGGTCAGGAGTTCGAGACCAACCTGACCAACATGGAGAAACCCCATCACTACTAAAAAATACAAAATTAGCTAGGTGTGGTGGCGCATGTCTGTAATCCCAGCTACTCAGGAGGCTGAGGCAGGAGAATTGCTTGAACCCGGGAGGCATTCCCGGTTCAATGTGGTGAGATCATGCCATTGCACTCAGCCTGGCAACAAGAATGAAACTCCATATCAAAAAATAATTATTTTAAAAAAAGAAAATAACATTAATCCCTTCATGAAGGAAGAGCCCTCATGACCTAATCAGCTCTTAAAGGCCCCACCTTTCAAAACTGTCACATTAGGAATTAAATTTCCAACACATGAACTTTGAAGGACACATTCTTTTATTTATGTATTTATTTAGAGATGGAGTCTCACTCTGTCACCTAGGCTGGAGTGCAGTAATGTGATCTCAGCTCACAGCAACCTCTGCCTCCTGGGTTCAAGCAGTTCTCGTGCCTCAGCTTCCTGAGTAGCTGGGGCTACAGGCACACACCACCACACCCAACTAGTTTTTGTACTTTTTTAGTAGAGACAGGGTTTCACCACGTTGGCCAGACTGGTCTTGAATTCCTGATCTCAAGTGATCCGCCCACTTTGGCCTCCCAAAGTCGTGGGATTACAGACATGAGCCAAGTGTGCGGTAGAGGGACATATTCCAACCATAGAAACCCATATGCTTATGTCTTCCTGTCTGTCTTAAATCTTTGAGTGTCAGTATTCCCTTTTCTCCCCCAAAATCCATTCCAATATGTATACCCAACCACACTGCAACCTGGACTGCGTCTGATTTCTAACTGGGGCATACTTTCTTCTTGCCTTCATGGTCTGTGAGACTACTTTACATTCTCCTCCTCAGTCAGACTCCTTCAACTTTGATTTTGGCATTTTGCTTTGATCTCAAGATGAAAACTCTTAGTCATGAGCCAATTACAGGTTGGGGTTAGCATCTACTTGCCATGGTTTCTGGCTTATGTATTACCATAGCCATTTTTTTCTTGACAGTGTAACTGTTGAGTTTTTGCTCTGTGAAGGAATTTTATTTCCTGGCTCCCTGACAATTAGCATTCAGACAAGTATTGATAGTGGAGGATGGGGAGTTAAAATACCCAATAGGGAAGATTTGAGCATCTTAGTCTATTCTATTCATTTTTCTTAGAGAATCTGCCCTATTCATGGCTTAAGAGCTGTAGCCCTTGAAGCCTGATCTCTGATGTCAGCTGTTTGAACAAAGAATGGACACGCAGTGAAGACTGATCATAAAAGACAGTATCTTTCTCCAAATTTAGAATGTTACTGAGACTGGATTAATTAGCTGGAGTGAAGCCCAAACTAGAGATTATCACAGACTCAAGGTTTAAGGCTGCCATTTTGGACTGTCTATGATGGGTTACCTGTATGTTGAACTTATGGGTCCCTCTTCAAAGGATAAAGAATGAGATGTATATTCATTCACTTGACTAATATTGACTGAGAACCTACTAAAATGCCAGTGTCTATTTTAGGCTTTGAAATTATGATAATGGAATGGCCTAACCTCCCAGAATGTGCTTAACTGAGGTGAGAGAAAGAAAATAAACAAATAACACCATCTGAAATTATGTTACAGAGTTAAAGGCAATGAAGAAAGAGTAAGAGAATAACAAGATAGAGAATGGATAGAAATGGGGGCGGGGATCTTGCTACTAGAGTAGCTGCAGAAGGTATCTATTAGAAGGTACTAGTCGAATAGGAACTTGAATAAAATGAGGGCGTAAGCCACAGGGCTATCTGGGGAAAAGACATTGCAGGCAAAGGGAGTGGGTGCAAGAGCCATGAGATGTGGGCATATATAGCAGGGCAAGAAAGTTTATGTGGCTATAGAAGTGAGAGGAAGGGAAAGAGTTATAAGGTCTGAGACACAAGCAGTGGCTAGATCAGAAGGTCACTGTCATCACGGTGATTTTATTTAAAGCATGATGGAAAACGATGGAATAACATGACCAGATTTATATAGATGTGATGTTTGTTTTTCTTGAGACAGAGTCTTGCTCTGTCAAGCTGGACGATCTCGTCTCACTGTATCCTCTCCTTCCCAGGTTCAAGTGATTCTTCTGAGTAGCTGAGATTACAGGTGCATGCCACCATGCCTAGCTAATTTTTGTATTTTTTTTTTAAATTAGAGGTGGGGTTTCACCATGATGGTCAGGCTGGTCTTGAACTCCTGACCTCAAGTTATCTGCTTGCCTCAACCTCCCAAAGTGCTGGGACTGCAGGTGTGAGCCATCGTGCCTGGCCTAAATTTATATTTTAAAGGTATCACTCTTGCTATTATGTGAAGGGCAACTGATGAGGGGTGGGGTATGAAAGAAAGGAGGAAGGAGAGAGAAGAAAGAGTTGACTACTTGTCTACTTTTTAAGTCCTATAAGTCTTCACTCTTGTCTTATTTGGTCTGAGAAGTTCTTGTGCATACTTAGGACATATACTTCTTACTTGGTTAAATTAAGTGGATTTTTTTTTTCCACAGCCAAATTGCTCCCTGATTAGGATACTCCCAAGAGGCTGAAGTATGGTGGAGAGGAAGGGATGACTATATGGAATGTATGACATAACATGGTGATACATTCATAGGGCCTAATTATGTACTATTTTTAACTGGGTGGTGAAAACATAATTCAATTTATGGAAAGACTCATTCTACAACAGTTGTCAACTGAGGACAATTTTGCCCTCCAGAAAACATTTGGCAATGTCTGGAGACCTGTTTTGATTGGGAGGAGAGTACTACTGGCATCTAGTGGGTAGAGGCCAAAGATGCTGCTAACTATCCAGCAATGCCCAGGACAGCCTCTTACAACAGAGAAATTTTCATCCCCAAAGGTCAACAGTGATGAGGATGAGAAACGCTTCTCTTAAATATTTTGGGAGCAAACAGAATGCACTCAGATACAAGCATGATTTGTCAGTGGGGCTTCTTGGACCTTTAAGATAGCTTCTTGAAGTTGAAGGAAGGAGAAAGGATAGTGAAAAATATACTTACTGGCTGGGCTCAGTGACTCACACCTGTAATCCCAGCACTTTGAGAGGTCAAGGTGGGTGGATCACTTGAAGTCAGGAGTTTGAGGCCAGCCTGGCCAACATAGTGAAACTTTGTCTCTACTAAAAATACAAAAATTAGCTGGGTGTGGTGGCATACACCTGTAATTCCAGCTACTCTGGAGGTTGAGGCAGGAAAATCGCTTGAACCCAGAAGGTGCAGGTTGCAGTGAGTGGAGATCATGCCACCGCGCTCCAGCCCAGGCAATAGAGTGAGACTCTGTCTAATATATATACACATATACATATTAGAGTGACAATAGAGTGAGACTCCATCTAATATATATATATTAGATGTATAGGTGGCCTCTCCTCTCTGGTCCATGGGTCTATCTTGAAGCAGTGAATGACCTTATAAGAGGATCAGTTTTCTACATGGAGGAAGAGGACCCACTCAGATGCTGATGCATTTTGGGAATGGACATCTTGTAAATGCACCATTTCCTAGTTTGTACCCTTTGCTGTAGTTTTGCAGATAGGCACCAAATACTGCCAAATTACCATCAATGGTTTTTAGAGAAGACATGTGCAAATAAAAAGCAATCAGATTGATGCCAAATATTTATCATTAATCTTCATAAATAAGTGGAAGTAAAACTCATTGTAAGACTAACTTCACAATTTTCCCTTTATGTCACATTGAAGCCTTAATGCACTTGCAAATTCAATTCAGTAAATAAATGTTTGTTGAATTGAATTGCAAATCAATCCATTTTGATTCTTGATAAAGAAGTGGGGAAGAGAGAGACTGGCTAGTGATTTCAGGCTGGGATTCACTATATAACTACCACAGAGGAGAAAAAAGGGCCAGGATATCACCATTGCAGGCAGTGTTCAGCTCTAGTGGTCCCAGACCTTTGTTTTAATCTGTTCACTTGGGAGAAGGTTAATGTTGTCTCACCCCCTTTACAAATCCTCTGGGAGGGAGGGGGGCTGTTACCTGGACATATTTCTGGCAAATTTAACAAATCTCTTTTACATGTTGTTATCATCATTCTTTTCCTGCACATCTCTGAATTATAGTTATGTATTTGACAAATATTTACGAAGCATCTACTGTATTCCAGGTACATATCTGGGTACTAGAGATGCAACAGAGAACAAAATCAGCAAGACTTCCTGATCTCCTGGAGCTTGTAATCTAACAGGTGAGGCAGACAATAAACCAGATGCTTGGCTAAAAATCTGTGTATTTGAGATAATAATATGTTAAAGAACAAAATGAAGGAAGGTGGAGAGTAGGGAATTTCTCCGGCTAGGATAAGAAGAGGGTTGTAACTTTAGACAGGTTGGTTAGGGAGGGCTGGGCTGAGACAAGATTTGAGGGGAGACTCTAAAGAAGTGAGGGAACAAGTTCTGAGGTTGCCCAAGAGAGGCAGCTTCCAAGTTCTTGGAAGAGCACGTGTTAGTGCTCCAAGAAGGAGCCATGGCTGTGTCTTGGAAACATTGTGTTTCTGGTTGGTGTACCTGGAGTAAGGGAAAGGGCAGTGGGAGGAAATGGGGCCCTAGTAATGCAGGTCTCATAGGTCATTGTGGGGATGTTGGTTTTAATGACAAGTGACATAGAGGCCAGCGGATGATTCTGAGTAGAGAGGTGCCTTGACATGAGTCTCATTCCAACAGGATTATTCTGGCTGCTGTGAGGATAACATAATGTGGGTCAGGCAAGTGAGGAGTCCAGCGTCACAATACACAGCAGTAACACTGGTGACTTAGACCAGGGAGGCAGAAATGGATGGGGTTGTTTCCTGGCACGATACTGTTCTTTTGTCTGCTTACCCTTGTTTCTCCATTTCTAGCAATAGTTACACATTCATGATTCCCGCTGACATTTCCTGCACTTTCACGAGTTTCTTGAGCCCTGTCTGTTCCCCTGGTTTCATTATTATCAAACAGCTCAGCTGTGATAGACTGCTGATCTTCATCTTCATATTGATTAATTTCATTTTCACATGCATCACCCGCATTTCCAGCATCTTCAGCACAGTTTTCAAATGATGAGTCATTTGCGAACGACAGATTTTCATTACAGGAGTCATCTTTGGAGCAGGATGTGTTGGACTAGACTCAGGTAAAGTGTTTGCTCAATTCTGTTTAGCGCTCTCTCTCATGAAATGGGATTTGATGGGTTTCTTTGAGCCCGGCCACTGTCGAAATAATTACAAAGCTGTTTTCTCTTATTTATTTGCTGATCAACTGGGAATTATGTTATTGTTTTACATGGGAAATGTAATTCCAGCAGTCACTACTTTTAAATGAAATGATAACTGTTGCATTGTGATTACATAACGTGTCGATTATGAAATGAGGACCTCTGTCCCTTGAGTCTGGGTTCCAGACTGAGTATGGGGGAGAAACCTCACTCCAGCTATTCCCCAGTTGGTTAACAGAGGTCTCTCATTTATGGCAGGGGGTACAAATTGAAATCATTCTTAAGACTTGTCAGCCAACGTAACTGGGTGAATCAGGCACATGTAAGAAAACAGAGACTGGAGGGTACTGTTTCACTGAACTCTACAGGAACAAGCCAAGACCAGCACTCTTTTCTTATCCTGCCTAAATGTGATTTCAATATTAATAAATTTCCTTAAAAGAAGCCAGAAATCTGGATTACTATGGATACTCTGATATTTACTTATTTTTCACTTTTAGAGAAACAAAATGGGTCTTTGAACCAGACACAATTCAAGTTGTCCTGTAATTCCTTATTCACAAAGATACCTTTGCACTTTCTGTATTTATTATGCTGCTTCAATAAGGACAACCATATAGGACTCTGTATAGTCAAAGCTTGCTATAACTGACAGCAAAGAATCTTACTTAGGAAAAGTAACCAAATAATTTTTCCTTCTGCTGTGATAAAATACCATAGACCAGGTAGCTTATAAACAACAGAAATTGGTTTTTCATAGTTCTACAGGCTGGAAGGTCCAAGATCAAGCCATCAACAGACTCTGTGTCTGGTTCACAGATGGCGCCTTCTTGCTTTGTCCTCACACGGCAGAAGGGACAAATGAGCTCCCTTGGGCCTGTTTTATAAGGACACTCAACCCGGTTATGAGGACTCTGCCCTCATGACTAAATCACCTCCCAAAAGGCCCCACCTTCTAATACCACCATCCTGGAGGTTAGAATTTCAACAGATAAATTTTGAGGGACACAGACATTCAGACCACAGTAGGGTGGTTTTCTAACATACCCATGTTCTAACACTGGCCCCTGGAGGACTGAGTATTGAATCCTGGCCTGAACTGACCCTTAGGCTCTTGGTTGTGTGCTACACTTCCCACCAGTGAGTTGATGGTGTTAGTAGCATTTGAACTCAAGACTCTGACTCCAAATCCTGTTTTCTTTCCTTTTTTTTCTGGTCCTTCTTTTCTTCAAAATCCAGTGCAAGTACTCACTTGAGTCAGGCCTGGAGCACCACCGGTTTATAAGGAAACATCCTCTTTGGATCATCTATTCATGGCCACCATAGGATTTAGAAGAAATGCAGGATCTGAACTGAAACAAGTGTTTTCTAATCTCAGTGCTGCAGCTAGTCTGCCTGGCAACTAGATCCCAGGCACCATAGCCTCTGAGGCTTGTCCTGCAGTCATTTAGGAAAATCGTCTTTAAATGTTGTCTCTGTCTCTGTCCCTCTCTTTCTCCTCACCAACATGATCTCCATTTTAATGTCTGAACTTCTAAAATATGCTTAATAATTACTGGTAAGTATACAAGTTATGATAATGAGACACACATCTAGAAAAAGTCACCTAGACTTTCCAAAGTAAAAATTGACTTCATGAAGAGCTAGCACCACCAGCTTTAAGCTCTGGAGAGTGTTGCTGACTGTATACCTGAAAGTGGGTAGGCATTAGCTGAGATCATTTGAAATACAGATTCTGATTCAGTAGGATGGGAGGAGGCCTGGACTTCTTTTCTTAGGAGCTCCTGGTGATGTTAATGAGGCAGATCTGTGGACCATACTGAGTAGCAAGATGCTATAAAACTGGTACCTCATCTCTCTCTTCCTCTCTCTCTTCATCCTCCATTGTATGTTTTCCTTCAAACATCAACATTCAGAGTAAATAAAAAATCATGTTTTATTCAATATATTTATTTTTCTGTTTTGTTTAAAAGTGACTACATTTTAGCTCTCCTATGAGTTAAAATGGCTTTCTGTGTGTGTGTAAGCAGGGGTAGCTTTTCCAGGAATGAAAGTACCTTAGAGACCATTCTTTGCATAATCCCAGATCAAAATGGCCAACATAAATAATAATTATAATGATATTATTTTTATTATGATAATGCTGATTGGACATATTCTTTGTTAAGCACTGTATTAGTGTGTAACTTAATATATTTCTTTGCTCATGATAACCACATAGGTTGGGCACTGTTGCACCAATCTCAAGTTTATAGATGACACACACACAGGGCAAGAGACTTTGAGGAACTGGCCCAGGACCACAAGCAGGAACATGGTAGAGGCAGGATTCAACCAATGCCTGGGATTATTCAAAACTTCAAATCCTGTTAGAATTTTGGGGCATGCCACCATGCAGACTGAGTATAGCATGTCCTTCATGAAAATGACAGAGGGAAGTGTTTTGTTGGTATCAGCCCTAAGGCTTGTGGTCTTTTCTTGTTAATGGGTATTCCAGAAAGCATCCTGCTTCAACCAGTTTTCTGTATAACTGTATACCTTAAAGTACTGGACAGGTATCTGGGTACCAGAAGGGACCAACACAACAGGCTATAGCAGGTGAAGTTTAGCCCCACCTAGGAAGGAGACTGAACAGTTGAAAAGAGCTTCTCAAAAGGCATGTGGAATCAAAAGAAAAATGCATACGTTGCATTTCCTTATTCTGAATCTTGCAAAAGATGCAAAATGCCACTTAAAAATAGCCCAATTGTTGGGATTCTCTCATGCTGAGGGATTGAGGAGAAAATATAATCAAACTCCTGTTGAGGATTTGGCCATTGGCATGGGCTTCTAGCTAAACAGCCTGTTTCCTAAGTAGAGTCAGGTCATTACCATTGGCAGTAAGGGTCCAGGTGATCCTGAGGGCAGGGCATTTAGGGAGGCAGCTGAAAGGCCCTCCACCAACCAGGCATGAGACAAATGTGATTCTCTGCCATCCACAACCTACACGGAGAGCCCACCACCACCAAACAGTATAAAAAGATGATGAAGAGAGTGAGCTCTAGAGCCAGACTCAGCTGTTAACTAGCCTGGGACCTCGAGCCCTTGTGATACTCACATTCCTGGTTTGCAAAATGGTATAATGGTATCTTCCTGATACCACTGTGAGAATTAAATGAGGAATTATTTGGATATTGTAAGTGGACCAGAAATAATCCCTAGTTTTATTCACTATAATATTTCCAGACCTAATGTTTCTTAATTCAAGGAAGAAACTGAAGAAATATTCATAGTTCTTACATGAATGATCAACTTAGTACAGGATCTGGAATAGAGGAGAAACTCAGATCTTTGCTGGTATAAACATGAAATTTCACACACGAGGAAGACTCATCAAGACCTGGTATGCTTAGGGAAACCCAACAGTTAGGAAATAAGTTTATGATGGAAGCTAATGTTTAAATAATGCTTATGCTCTGTGTTAGACACTCTTGTAACCAAGCACTTAATATTCACCGATACACTAAAATCTCTAGACACCCCCATTATTTACAGGGTATTTTTATCACCCAGACCCTATATTGCAGATGAGAACACTGTGGCATAGAGAAGATAATTATGTCGTTTAAGACCACAGATCTCATAAATGGCAGAGCTTGAATTTAAAATCAGAAGGTTTAGCTCCAGAGTCCATATTCTCAATCACTATCTACCATTGCTGTTCATTTATGAGACTTACAGGGTGTGAGGACTTGCCTCTAGACTTGTACCTCTTTGAGTCTACCCTTATCTCCATTTCAAAGATAGTCTGTCTCCTTGGAAAGAGAACCATGTGTTAGCGGGGAGTTGTCTGTAGAAATTGAGGAAGACCATGTGGGCTAAACTGGAAATGTACTTTTTCTTTTTTTTGAGACGGAGTTTCGCTCTTGTTACCCAGGCTGGAGTGCAATGGCGCGATCTCGGCTCACCGCAACCTCCGCCTCCTGGGTTCAGGCAATTCTCCTGCCTCAGCCTCCTGCATAGCTGGGATTACAGGCACGCACCACCATGCCCAGCTAATTTTTTGATTTTTTTAGTAGAGACGGGGTTTCACCATGTTGACCAGGATGGTCTCGATCTCTTGACCTCGTGATCCACCCACCTCGGCCTCCCAAAGTGCTGAGATTACAGGCTTGAGCCACCGTGCCCAGCCGTACTTTTTCCTACTCATGTTTTTAAGTAATCGAGCAGAATTAAAATTTATTAAAATTAAATTATGGCTCCTTTTTCATCATAAAAGCTGTATTCCTAGTTGTTCAATGGAAAGATCATATGTAAAAAAAGCAAAAACAGGTAGTATTTAGCAACACTGGTCATAAAAAAGAATAATTGAAACATTTTTTAATTAAAATAACAGTGAAAAGAAGTTGGAACATGGTGTTTTAGGAAGTTTTAAAAATCTTTATAATTGTTGTTTTTTAACTCCATAATAAATATTCACAATATTTTAATGAGAGAATGTGTTTCTATAATTACTTGTTATATAATTTCCTTCTTTCTTCTAGAACTTTCTTGCGAAATAGTGGAAGTTTTGGACCTATTCTATGCCTTTAAGTGGTTTTTTTTTTTTTGGCACCACTGTGAGCCAGGATCATCTCCTCATTCCAAGGTCACTAACTAAATCATATATGCAAAGATCTCTTTTTTCCATCAAAAGGTTCTGGGGACAAGGACCTAGTATCTTCGAGGATCCTCATTCAGTCTCATAAGGGCCCTCTTTGCTGCTTCTGATTCGATACCCTGAGGCTGGAGTTGTATCATGTGCCAGAAGTCATAACGTTGTCCTCATCCATCTGATCCACCTTTGCTCTGCTTCCTTACGTTGTCCACTCTTTCTCCTTTTCCCCAGCCCTTTTGCTTCCTTTTTCTACCCTATCCATTTTTTCAAGTACTTACCTCTTTTTCCTTTTCTTTTCTATTCCCCCTTTCTGTCCTCCTTTCTTCACCATTTTCTTCTTTTTCCTCACTTTTACCTTCTTTCCCTTCCTTCTTTTCTTTCTGCATTCTCTTTCCCTCTACCCCTCCTCATCTCCTTGGTGCCTTCCCCTCCACTTTCTCCTTCCTCCTTTCCCATCTTCCTTCCCCTTCCCTTACACCATAGTCTTCTTCTCACAGGTTTTCTCTACCTACTATCTCTGCAGCTCCAATCAAACATTCTCACCTTGAACCACATCAGGGAATTCTTCATCATTTCTGGTTCGCTGACATTATTTTTTGTTCTTGCTTTCTAGGATCTTGATTCATTTAATTATGAAAAAGAAAAATCAATTTCTGAAGTTTGATTAAGTTTTTTCAGGTTGGCTGGGCCTGGTGGCTCACACCCATAATCCCAGCATTTTGGGAGGCTGAAGTAAGCAGCAGACTTGAGTTCAGGAGTTCCAGAGCAGTCTGGCTGACATAGTGAAACCCTCTCTCTAAAAAAATACAAAAATTAGCCAGAAATGGTGGTGCATGCCTGTAGTCCCAGCTACACAGGAGGCTGAGGCACAAGAATCACTTGAGCCCAGGAGGCAGAGGTTGCAGTGAGCCAAGATCACACCACTGCACTCCAGCTTGGGAGACAGAGTGAGATTCCATCTCAAAAAAAAAAAAAAAAAAAAAAAGTGTTTAGAGGAAGGAATAATATTCTTTACAATTTTAATACCTGGAAATCCCTCTTTATTTACAATATTTCTTTAGACTGAGTTCCCATAGCAAAGACTCTCTATATATTTTTTATTTACTTAATGCCCAGCACATGGTGTTACTCTAACACGTTTATGAAATGCATGTCATTGTGGATTTTGTGAAATGAAATGCATATGGTTGTTTTAACTGATCACCCAAGTTGATTAGACTGCCGTGTCCCATGAAAAAAGAGGATGCTCAGAAAGCCAGTGACTGGATAATAATTTGAGGATAATACTCAAATTTCTAGTAGTGCTAGTCAGTTGAACCTAAAAATGCCATTAACCCTTTCTCAAAGAAGCAGATTGGAGGTGAGTAGCAGTTGTGTGGCTTCTTGGTATGCAGCTGTTCACTTTCAAAACTTAATTTAAAACAATAAAAAATGTACCTCGAAATCATTTTGTTTCCCTATTTATTTAATGTGATTTATTCTAAATGCATTTCATATCACCATAATGTATCAGAGCTCAACCACCACCTGTTATTTTGTAGGGGAAATAAACAAGACCTCTCTCATCAGATGAGTTAATTACACTGACATATTCACTCCTCCCCAGAGATACCATAAACTAAAATGCTGCAGAGCTTTAATTCAAACAAGCAGGCTGGAAACAAGAGCTATTGCAGTGGTATAATTTTCTTTGGGAGAATCAAAAGCTCAACACAGACTTGAACTTAGAGGGCAAGATAGCTGGAGTTGATCAAATGGAGTCTCGTTTAGGGTCGCATAATAAATCTGTAGGTGAGTTGAGCTTGAACCCATTTCTCAATATTTTGGCACTGTTTTCCAACCTTTGTGCTTCCGAACATCATGTGGTCATTTTTAAAAACTTGTTTCATCTAGCAGTTTCTCTCTCCTCTCAGGTATTTGTCTGGGGATGGCTGTGCATACAGAACACCATTAGCTCCATGAAGAATATGACAGAGGTACCTGGTCCTACCTGGATTCTTGGGCATGCGGGAAGCAGCAGCAGTAGCCACAGTGAACTTCATCCTAAGGAACTGTTATGCAGACGTTGCATGAGTCTCTTGTGGGGGTGCCAGGTCAGTTTATCCAGTGGTAAAACCTGAGATGAGGATTCATGGACGAGGCTTTACTGATAATGTTCCCCTAGAATTGTGTAGGGTGATGGGAGAAGCAGCCCAGGAGAGAGAAAGAAGCCAGGCAAGGTATGACTTCAGGCAAATTCCAGCCTCAGCCCGATACTCTGGGGCGCTCAGGAGTATAAATATCACCCCAGATTTTTTTCTCAACTGGCAGAAATAGAAGTCGGCTTTCATACTCCCCCTACAATTGGTCCCTGGTTAAGAGTCACTGAGAGGTGCATAAACTCCCAGGCACTTTGGTTCTCTTCCCTGGAAGCAAAGCAGCCCCCATAGCCTGCAGCAGCTCCTTAAAAAGAATCACAGGTATAGGAAAAGCCTAAAGAAGGTGGGGAAGTGGGGATAGGACCCACAAGAGACTGTAAGAAGGATTCAAGGTGGTGTGAGATGAGAACAGCAGAGTCTGCTGTCTCCAGTAACAAGTATCAAGTGCTGTGTGCCTACAAGGTGGGAGCTGGGGGAGGACCCCCACCTCAAGTCAGAGTACCTACAGTCTATACAGATTTTGAGAACCTCTAAAATATTTGAGACCTAAAAACTAAAAAAAAAAATAATATTTTAATCTATAAGAAATTAACTTGAAATTAATGAGTTTATTAATTCAACCAATATATGTTAGATATCTACTAGGTTCTATTCTGCTCTAAGTGCTAGGGTTACTGTAGCAGATAAAACACAAAAATATTAGCCCTCATGGTGAAAGTAGAAAGACAATAAACAAGATCAATTAGATCTATGGAAAGATAAATTACATCTGTTGTATTGAGGTGGGAGGTGGGACTTGACCCTGGAGGTCAGGTTCTGATGACACCAGACCACATTGAAGACTAGCTAAAACAGGAACCTGATGGAAGCAGCTTTCCATAAGACACCTCACCAGTCTGCCATGTCAGTTTACCATTGCCATGGCAACACTTGGGAGTTACCACCCCTTTCCATGGCAATGATCCAAGGATCCAAAAATTACCACCCTTCCCCTGGAAATTTCTGCATCAACTGGCCCTTGATCTATAAGTCATTTACAGTAAGTGTAAATATGGGTACAAAGCTGCCCTGAGCTACTACTCTCAGCCCGCTACCCATGGGGTAGCCCGGCTCTGCAGGAGCAGTCACGGAGCTGTAATACTGCCTGAACTATGACACTGCCACTTCAGTAAAGCTGTTTTCTTCTACCCACCCTACCACTGGCTCACCCTTGAATTGTTTCCTGGGTGAAGCCAAGAACCCTTATGGTCTAAGCGCCAGTCTGGGATTGTCTGTCCTGCATCAGCATCTTATGTTCATAAGTTCCATAAAGAAAATAAGGCAGGGGAGGAGAAATAAGTAGGGTCCATGGTGGTGTGGGCAGGCGTGAGTTGTACTTTTAAATGGGGTGGTCAGGGCAGCATTCTCTGCTATACATAATGATTGCTGGAAAGTTTTGGGCAAGTAGATTGATAAATCCGCAAACCAATTTATTCCTTTACAGCGGGTGATACAGCCGGCACGATAACTCAATCAGTCTCTTTCCTGGTATTGACTTACCTGAGAAACCAAATTAATTATCAGAAGGTTGCTCTGCTAAGTATGGAATTAGAAAGAAAGGAAATTGGATGGTCTTAAGGGATTGTTCTTACAGGCCTGGATAAATCCTGATAAATTGCCTTTAAAGAGAAAGGAATGTACTGCTTGTTGAGAACCTGGCTCAGTCCTAACCACCTTCTCCTTGAACTCTGTTGCTGACCCAAGTTTATCATCCAAGCCTTTTAGTTTACACTTGTTCTTATATTACGTGGTTTCAGAAAAAAATCTAAATTGTATTGTAAATCAATGAGATTTTAAGTGTGCTGTGTTCTGACTGTGCCCAGGGAGGTATTTTAATCTCATGGATAAATGGTAATCTTTCATCAGAGATAATTTCCTCTTTTTGATCTTTCTCTTTATTCCTTTGTCTGTCTTGCTTCAGGTCCTTTTTCTTTTTTCTCATCACCATACAAAATGTCTCGAAAAACTGTGGTTGTAAAATATGCAGAAAACAACCACACCTCTATTTCATCATAGTGGTTAAGAGCACACACTCCAGCTAAATCCTGGTCCTTCTTCTCGGTGGCTATATGATCTTAAGTAGGCTCACTTTGCCTCAATTTTCTTATTTATAAAATGGGGATAATAACACCCATGTTTTAGAGTTATTGTGATGATTAACTGAGTATGATAGAGTAGTTTAGAATAGCAGTCCTCAAAGTAGGTGTGGTTTGAGAAATCCTAAGGGTCTCAGAGACCTAGGAGCCACAAAATCAAAAGTATGTTCACAAAAATATTAAGAAGTAATTTGCCTTTTCACTGAGTTGACTTTTGAAATAATGGTGCAAGATCGATGCTGGGTAGACTGTGGTGCCTTAGTATGACAAAGTGGTGGCACCAACTCTGCTGGCAGTCATGGTATTCTGCACCATGCATACATGAAGGGGAAACAAATCAAGCTTAAGAACAGCCTTGATGAAGTAGTAACATCTCTTTAATTTTATTAAATCTTGACATTTTTAATATTCTGTGTGATAAACAGGGAAGTACATGGAAAGCACTTCTGTATCAGGCATCATGATGGTTTCTAGGAAAACGCTTGGAGGATTGAGTTGGGAGCTGAAGTAGACGTGGTTTCCAAAAACACCATTTTTATTTGGAAGAATGACTGACAAATGATAGTAATTCAGTCCTCAGAATCTGGCAGTTTTGTTTTTGTTTTTGTTTTTTGGAAAATGAGCAAAATGAGTATCACTGCAAGGAAAACAGCAAGTGGTATTTGTTGCCAATGAAAAAATTCTTATTTTCAAGCAAAAACGAGAATTTTGTAAAAGTTGAACCCACCACTGTGAGCTTGACAGTTTCCCCGTGCTTAAATACTTTTCTGATAAGAATGGTGTTGATATGAAATATGCCAGTATCTGGAATATCTTCATAACTTGCTAAGTCGGTATTTTCCAAATGACCAATATATGATGTTATGAAATCATGCATGCATTAAAGATCTATTCAAATTGCAAGATAGACCAAATGGATTTTAATGTAACAGAGTATGAAAAACCTATTGTATATGATTTCACATTCCACACTGTAGTAATATTTTAAAAATTATTACTTGTTGAGTTTTGGTGTAGTATCAAAGAAGAAAATCCCTACTTATCTGAAAAGCTTTTTAAAATACTCTTCTCTTTTCTAAGTACACATATGTGTGGGACTGGATTATCCTCATATGCTTGCTTTAACCAGAAGAATATATTATTACAAACTTATCACGGGAAAATATATGAAAATGTAGTAGTTTTCTACAACTAAGCATTACAAATGTACTTCTCGCTATTTTTTGTTTTGGAAATTACAGTTATATTTTTATAAGCATATGTTGTTTATATTAATATGTAATGGATTCACTGTCATTTATTAATTTATTATTTTAGCATGAATTTATAAATAAATATATTAAAACTTCCCAGTTTTAATTTCTAACATAGCACATATTGATTGTGATAAGCCATAGAAACAAAAGCTCTTTGGGAAGCTCAATGATTTCTGTGAGGGTGAAGGCATCTTAAGACCTAAAAGTCTAAGTGTCACTGATTTAGAACATTGCTTAGCTCATAGTAAAAGGCATATAATTCTTAACACTTTTATTAGCTAGTTATTCAAATACCTAGAATTATTTATTCCCAAAGTATGTATAATTTTAATAACAGTTAACTTTTATTAAAGATTTATTTTGTGTGTGCCAGACACTGTGCTATTTGCTTTGCATGTATTATCCTACATAATTTTTAATAAAATGTGATGAGATAGGTATAAAGTTAGCTTTATTTTATAGATGAGGGAAATGAAGTACAGAGAGATTAGGTAATTTGACCAAGGTCACACAGCTATGAATTAGAAGAAATGAGACCCCAGGCAGTCTGATTCCAGAGATTTTGCCCCTAAAGACTTTTTTTCTATGTATTATTCCCCCATTTAAATGCTCTGAGTCTCCCATTAACTTGACTGTAGGATCAGAGTCCATTCCTCTGACTCAACCCAAGCAAGTCTCCCTGGTACTTTCTAGGAACTTCCAAAAGAGTACCTCTCTCATGGAACCGCAGTCAATTCCATCTGCAGCCATCCTTCACGTTCTTCTCTATGCCAATCACTCTCCGGTTTCCACTGGTTACAAAACCAATTGAAGGGTTTTTTCCATCACCTTCCTGATGATGCACTTCATATACAAGCTATTACCTCATAACCTCTGGGACACCAACAAGTGCTGGTTCTAGCAAGACTGGATATATAATTTGCAGGATCCAGTGCAAGATGAAAATGTGGGGCCTCTTCTTTAACAGTGATTTAAATAACTTTAAACATTATGTAAAGTCTGCAACAGCAAAGCATTGATCAAGCACAGGATTCCATGTGAAGTGCTCTATCAGTAGCATGCCTGGGGAACTGGTGCTGAGTTCTCTGCAGAGATGGGAAACACCACGGCCTTTCTGAATTTGTCACAGCTTAGGCCCCTTTGGGCATGAAGGCAGGGACCTGGAGCTCATGGCCTCACACACTTTCTTGTGAAAATGGGTCCTGCAGCTTCTAGTCTTTAGTCCTCTAGCCAGATACCATCAAATCGGGTCCACAGGGATGGAGGCACTGATGCCTTGACACTCCTTCTGCTGTCTCATCTTTTCTCTCCTTCCAGCAGCAAAACCAAGCCTTTGTGCCTATCTGTGGTTGTGACCCGTTGGAGAGACATTGGGAGATGAGATACTGTGCTCACTCCTCACGGCTGAACCAAGGACCTGAGATATTCCATTGCTATCCTGTGAGTAAGTAAATTTAATACGTAGAAAGAACTGAGAACCATATTTTCTAAAAAGCACAAAGAGCATGATATAGTCTTCAGGACTTTGTCAGGTTATAGAGAAATCAAACTGTTTTATCTTACACCAAAGAGGGACACTGACTGCCTTGCTTAACCAAGCTATGGAAGGCTGGGCTGGTTTTAGATGTAAATGGATCTAGAGCTTTGGCCCAGTCTGACACTCACTGTGAGAGTCTTACCCTGTTTCTCTGACTGGCCTTGACTTCAGACCCAGAGCCATCCCTGGACTCATCGCTGTGGCCAAGGGAAATGGCGGGACTACTGGTTCAGATAGTGCCCACTCAAGTGGTCAGGAAGCGGGCAGGAGTGCTATGACCATCTCTCATCACGGTGAGATGGGAGAGTGGAGGAGGAGCCATTTGCCCCAGAAAGGAGTAACTATTCTGGACAGAATGTATATGGCAAAGCCATGGTTCTTCTACACCTTTGCAGAAATGTAAACCTGAATGTGGACAGGCAGAACAGTGAGTGTCAGGAAATAGGCTTCAGTTTGAGAAAATCTGTGGTTTATTAGAAGCTGACATCAGGTGAGTGCTGATGCTTAAACCTCAATAGCAAATTTTGGGAACCCAGAGAAAGTAAGGTCAAATCAGTAGAATTCTGCTTTCCTGAGAGACACAGGGACTAATCCAATGAGTGATGTTGATATATTAGGATTTTGGAGATTCCCACCAGTGGTTATCCGGTGCCAGGGTATGAGAAGATAGTCTCTGTGTCCAAACTCAAAATTTCAGAACAAATTTCATCAAGATAAAGGTAAAAACCATGACCTGGGAATTTTGTCAGTCAGATCACTATATTACAGAATTAATTTATTGCATACCCATGTCTTACAACAAAAGACAAATACGCCAAGGACACTTGGTTATGAAAATCACCCCTCCCCCATGAACTGGTGGCCTGTGAAAGAGGAGCCCAATGAAGAATTGGCATACTTCTATTTTTATGTTTCCTTTGTTTTGCACCAAAGGTAATGTTTTTGCAGGACGTCTGTATTTGTTCTCCCAACACCCAACATGAAGGGAGCTGATGAAGCAGAGACAACCAGGACGTGGGGAGGGTCACTTTCTTAGGGGTGGGTGGAACCAATGAGAAGTTTCTAATTTGCGGTGGTTCAGTGATTTCTTAAAATTCTTTGCAGGGCTGACCTATTTCTAATTCCTTGAGCCTATAGTCTGAAAGGTCATTAATCTGGGCTCAGCTCATGATGCTGAGGCTTAAGACTTCTATTTCTTAAATGCCAAAGGTGTGTCAGGTTGCCTTTTGAAATGCTGGTATCTCTAGTCAGGCATGCAGCATGAATAAAGTGGAGAGGTACATCAGCTCTTTCCTTTGTCAGGGAAACATTCACCTAACCAAAGGAGCCACCTGTGTTTTTTCTTTTCTTTTTTTTTTGTCATTTGGATTTTTGCCAGGGATTCAAAAGACAAACCAATCTCCCCCACACACTTTTTCTTTCTTTCTTTCTTTCTTTTTTGTCAAGTACAGGGATAAATAGGTATGTGTTTGCTAAGGGTTGACATCATCAAATGTACTTCCTGAGAGTCAAGTTGGAGAAAAACATGAAAAGTATCAATTTATTCCTATCACTGTATGTCTCCTCATTTTCTATAGAATGAAATCTGAGCTCTTTGTTGTCACATTAGGAGGTTCCTTTTAGTCCTCTCTCCGCTTCCTTCACCGATCTTGCTTCTCCCCAAACTTACCTTCACCTCTGAGAACCATGTCTCAGTTCACATCGGGGCCTTTGTAAATGTCATTCCTGGCCCTCTCACCTGGCAGATTCCTGCTGACCTTTTGGGTTTCAACTCAAATAGTTGCTCCTACTTCAGGAGACCTCACCTGTCTCCCCAAGCCTGAAAGAGGGACTTCGCTTGGGCGTTCCCATAGCAACCCGCGCTTGCTGCAGGAAGGCACTTCCTCTGTACCTAATTGCTTGTTTACTTGTCTTTCTTCCCTATTATGCCTTTTCTTGCTTCTTTCTTTTCCTCTTTCTTTTTCCCCTCCTTCATTTTAATGCATTTTTTCTTGCATGAAATCCAAATATCACAGATAAAGAATGCCATCCTCCTAGGCCACATGTCAGATCTCTTTCATGTCTCTCTAGATATACCTACCAGTCACTTACTTCCACGGTGCACTGGGAGGCTGACCGTGGGGTCTGCCTTGATAGGCCTGTTGCCCTCCAGCTTCCTATTGGGCTTGGCCACTAGGGATACCAAAGAAGGTCGGCAGGTGGGAGAGAAAGGGTTTGAGATAAGCATCTTCCCCACCCTCCCCTAACTAAGGCTCTAGGTCTGCTCTCAGGTGTCCCTCTTCCTTCAGTCACCACTTTGGTTCTGGTGGCACTTTTTCTTTTTGTCCCTCATGCCCGGGGCTGGTGAACAGTTCCTGCTTTCACTATGACAGACTTCCAGCTCTGTACCTTGCTGCTCTCCTTAAACCTTGCCTCCGTCTGTGTAAGCTGTCCCTGTATTAAATGTTCCTTCCACTACCTAGTGTAAGTGTATTTTCCTTCCTGCTGAGAGCCTCACTGATTCTGATAATCACTTCCAACCCTAGTCCTTGCCCCTTCCTCAAGTTCATCCCAGTTACAACTACGTCTAGAATATGACAACTCAAGATGCTGGCACAGTACATCACCCACATAGAAGGAGTCCAACAAATGTTGGCCAAAACTATTGTTGAATCTTGGGCTCCCAGGAGAAGACAGGTTAAAAGTTACTAGTTCCAGCCAAACACTCATTTCCTTTGCACATCATAAAGATAAAACAGGATCATAGTTATTGAGTGGAAAATTCCCTCACTGTTATGGCAGCAGATAGCCAGTATGTGTTCCAATGAAAGACTCAGGAATGGGTATAAAAATAATCCACTGTACACCATCAAAAATTGAAAGCACATTATTTCCTTTTGAAACAAGATCAGCTTCAAGAAGCTTTCATTCCAACACCCATCCATCTAAAACTTCTCTCCAAGGGCATGAGTATAATGCAACTTGTTTCGTAATAAGTCCCAGGAGTTTACTTTAAAGACATCATTACCCTTAAGGCAATGAGAGCTGTCTACAATTTCTTCTGTTTCAAGAATATTTCTATCCTAAAGAAAGACAGGATAGCACCAAAGTTTCACTGGAAATTCCAGCTTGTGAATTATACAGGAAATAGAAATTTTGCATATCTGTGATTGATCATGGATTGAACCTCATTCCCCCAGTTAGAGTTGCTCAGCTGTGGAGCATAAAGCCCCATCAGAAGCCCAATGATCTGTCAGATCAGCAGTAGGCCAAGCTGTAAGCTGACAGCCTTTATTCTACCATGGTTTCACTGTTGGGTTCAGTGACTATTTCAGAACCAAGTTGGGGCATTACATACTCAAGCCATTATTATAGCTGCTATTACCAGTGTCCTTACCAGGCACTTTGCTTCTCTCATCTCACCCAGGCCTCCCATCAGCACCATGAGGGGGATGCTCTTAGCATTTTCATTTTACAGATGAAGACACTGAGCCTTAGCCAGATGAAGAGGCTTCTCCGGCTGAGTAGTGTAGGCAGTACTTCCTTTGCAGCCTAGGTTCCTGATCACATTTCCTTTCACCTGGATGGAGGTGAGTCAAACTGCCTCTGACTGCGTCCAGCTTCCTGTTGGGCTTTGCCATTGGGGGCACCAAAGAAGATCAGAGGGTCAGAGAGAAAGGGTTTGCAAATTTGCAAATATGCCAAATTTCTATATTTTGTATAATTCACAGGCTGGCATTTCCAGTGAAATATTGGAGCTATCCTGTATTTCTTTAGGTTAGAAATATTATTGAAACAAGAAACTGTAGACAGCTCTCATTGCCTCTGGGTAATCATGTCTTTAAAATAAACTCCTGAGGCTTATTATGAAACAAATTGCATTTTATCTGTGTCTTTGGAGGGAAATTTCAGATGGACGGGTGTTGGAGTAAAATCGAGTCTGGACTGCCTCTCTGCCTCGGTACCCACTTCACTCTTGTACTTTTTTCATTGTGTTGCCTTGACTCATACTCAAAGATGAAAAAAAATTGGCACAAGCCATGTTAGATCCACAAATTACTTGCCCTCCAAGGTCCTTAAAGGGTGTGAAGTTTTGCCTTCAGGAAGTTCTTTAGCTTTTCCAGACCTTGATTGTCCTCAAATGGAAATGGGGATGATTTGTACATCATAGTTTTGTTACACTATTTTAATAAGGTAAAATGTGTAGAATACTTTATTACTTGACATCTAGAAATAACTCAAAAAATGGTTGCCATTTGTTGTTTAGATTTTGTTCTCCCATGAGCTGATGCTTTTAAAGACTGACAGTAATATCAGAGAGTGAAAAATAAGCCTTCTTTTATTTTCAGATGGTCTGGCTTCATGATATCAGCCCTGACATGACCTGAAGAGACAGACAATGGCTCTTGCTAGTTAATTATTGTCAGATGGATCGGCAGCCGACCAACGCTTCTAAAACTATTGTTTTTGGCAAACATTCTTCAACATTTTCCTGGTGTATAAATAATGATCCCATGCAGAAAGTCACTTCTTTATATTTCCTTGGTGTATGTTTCACAAATGGTTTGTTTTGGCAGGTTCTCCAGGAAGTCACTTTATCATAGCTACAGGTGGTTCATTAAGAACTCATTTTGGTTAAGGAGGACACCTGATTACGCCTGCCTTAAACATTTTCAGGCCATAGCTCTTTGGGGAATGTTACATTCTCTTGGGTCTTGATAGTCTATTCTGTGTCTTGGGGCAGATTCAGAACGAGATTCTGGGTAAAATCTGGAAATTCTGGCTTTGGCTTTGGAACTGGGTTATCCTCTGATTCCCATCCAAGCTTTTGTTGTTGTTTCTGCCTCTGTCTCCAATCATCTAATACTCAAAGTCCAGTAACCAGTGTTGGTGAGATGGAACCAAATGGTGAAAGAAAGAGAGAGAGATTTTAAAGGATTGTCAATCAGGAAAAGCATATCATAGTGTGAGGCAGCTTGGAGAAAGGAAAGAAAATGATGCTTGGGGGAGGGTACCTGGACCTTGGGGGCCCACTCATCACCTTCATGGGGGCAGTAGATAGGAGGGTGAGTCAGTGGATTGCTTAGTGGTTGGGTACATCTTCTTAGGGGCAACAAATTCCCTCCATTTCCAGCACGGTTCTGCCAACAGACTGTATTCATTAGCACAGAGGTTGACTGCTGTCATAGGAACCCAGTATGCACTTGGCTTAACCACAAGAGAAGTTCTTTCTCTCTCTAAGCCTAGGGCTGCTATAGTATTGTAGTCCCATGGTACCAGTCATCCAGTGCCTTCGGCATGGTGATGCATGCCTGTGGTCCCAGCTGTATGAGAGGTTGGGGCAGGAAGATCACTTGAGCCCAGAAGGTTGAGGCTGCAGTGAGCATCGTTCATGCCTCTGCATGCCAGCCTGGGCAACAAAGTGAGACCCTGTCTCAAAAACAACAACAACAACAACAACGAAAGTAATTGCAAATTGCTCGAGTGTTTTGGAAAGAAAACTCAAACTGAATGCTTAAAGAGAAAAGAATGAGAAAGCATATTGTTTGAACTGATGACTTCCAAAGTTTCTTGAGACAGTTGGAAAACTTATCCTTGGGAAGGGGGGAGCCAAATGAAATGCTGAGATGTTGGAATATTATACAGCAATGAAGATGAAAGAGCCGCAGCTACATGCAGCCATGTACATGCATTTCAGAAACATACAGTCGAGTGAAAAAAAATCATCTAAGGCTGCATACGATGTGATATTTTTATAAACCTCAAACACAAACAAAACCAAGTAGTATATTATTTCAGGATGCATACATGTGGAATCAAATTAAATACAAAAAAGTCATAAGAGTGATATACACAAAATTCAGAATAATGTATACCTGAGTGGGAGAGAAGGAAAAAATAACAGGATATTCAAGATAAAGTGACAATATTAAAGTTAGCTGGTAGGTTCCTGGATGCTAGTTCCATTCGTATGCTTTCTAATTAATGCATGTGTAAAATGTATTTTTGAATACATCCAACCTTGCTTAATACAACGCATTTTAAAATGTAGAGAGGAGGGGCATTCAGCTCAACTGTCTAGGGAGTCCAGGCAGGCAGTGTAAACTGGTGAAGCGGCTAGGTGGGTCCCTGGGGAACACCAGAGCCTGCCTCGCCTACAGCAGTGCCATTGCCCAGTCCCTCCTCAGGGTTGCCATGTGAGCTTGCAGGCCAATCACTCAATAACGTCCAACCAGAACTTCTGATTTTTCTTAAGGAGCCTGACATCTGACATCTGCATTTTTACAAAGCACTATTCCAGTGCTGGCAACAATTCCAAATTTCAAAAACTCTGTGGCGGCAAACAATACCCTTTGAGAGGCATATCAAGTCTCGGAAAGTTCGTAGAGGCCAACACTAATTCTGTGCCCATTTGCAACAAGAATGCCTAAATGTGTTTCTACCATATTGCGCTGCTCGAATGCAGGCAGGATGGAAACCCATTCCCTTTACATTCCCAGAATGTGCTATTTCCAACCTGTGGCTTCGCTGGGTTCCTGCACCTCTCTCACTTGTGAGCTCTCACCTCTAAGTTTGGAACATGTGAAGGTGGTGCCAGCACAGCTGAGAGAGGGCGGGCAGCAGCTTGGGCTGCGTCTCCCCCCGGGAGCCTGCTTTCTGCATAGCACCCTCGCCTCCAGCCTTCCAGGCTCGACTGTGCGTGGTATTTGCAACACTCTCATTTTCCCCTAAAGGGCCAAGGGGGAGGAATGGGCAACATGCAACTAGGACCATGCTGCTGAGATCTAATTTATATTGTTCACTATTGGGACTGGACACTTTCCATACAAGAATATGCAGACCCCAAGGGACATTTGGCAATATGTGGAGATATTTCTATTGTCACAACTGGAATGGGGGCAATTCTCAAATTTGTGGGTGGTAGGTTGCAGGTGGAGGTCAGGGATGCTGCGAAATGTCTTACATTGCACAAGACAGCCCCTGCCTCCTCACCCCAACATCCCAACAAAGAATTACTCCACCCAAGAAGTCAATATTGAACAGTGCTGAGGCTGAGAAACTCTTTTCCCTCTGTCTGCCCCCACCATAAAGCAAAGGTAAATAAAGCCAGGACTGGCCACTCCCTGTGAGTGAAGTGTGTGTGTTAGGGGTGGGGTATGGTGAGGGGTGTACCATGAATTTAGAAGACATGCCCTTTAGCTAGAGCTGGGATTTGTGGCCACTATTTTGGTTTTTATCAAAGCATAATGCTCACAAGTAGAAGAGGAGATTTGTTATTCTAAAGACAGTTGCACACCAAAGCATGCTATTGTATAATCTGGCATTTTCCCCACTAGGGAGCTATGGTGCATTACTCACGAGTGACAGAACCAACGAGCTTCATCTCCCAAGAGGCTGGTGCATCTGTTTAAAAGGAGCAGGCGCTATGCAGGGCCGCCCCCATCAACCCCCCCATGACGAAGTGCAGCGGGGGAAGGTAAGCTGCTTTTCAGTCACGGTGAGGATGCATCACGCATTGATTCTATGCTCACTCTACTCCCACTCCCCAAAAGGAGAGGATCAAGTCCAGTTGTGTTCTAGTAGCAGGACCGCAGGAGAAGAGGCAGTTATTCAACAAATATGATTATGGAAGTCCTGGCTCTTTCCGTACCTCAGTTTCTCAGACCAGTGCATACTGGGGCCAAGAGCTTGGGGCTTGGGAGTCAGTTGGGTGTCATCAGTTCGATGCAGGTTCAGCAATTACAGTGTGTACCCTTGGGCCCCGACTTCTCGCTGAGTCTTGGTTTTCTCATCTAAAAAGTAGGGATAGTAATGCTTGTTTCATAAGGTCACAAGAGACAAGGATTATAAAGCACTCAGCACTTGCCAGGCATAGAGCATGGATCATTCCAGTATTCAGAGATAAAGAGAAGTCAACACATTTTCCCTTTGAACCTCAAAGAACAGTTGGGAATTGAAATGAAATTATGGATGGGAAAATACTTGGAAAACAAATACTTGGAAAACTTAAAAATGCAATATCAGTGAAACGTAATGAAATCAGTGTAAATATCAATGCAAACAGCTATAGTGTTTATTGTGCTGATCCTAATAAAATAGAAACATTATTACACACTATAATTATAGCCAGTTAGACATGGAAGATAATTAGATCTGCGTTAGTTTAAACCTTCCATTTTATTAGGGAAGAAACTGACTTTAGTAGCAAAACTTTCGTGAACCCCAGGCTGGTTGGTGCCCTTTTTCCACTCCCCACAAAGTTAACTTGTTTAATGTGGCAGCAGTTAGAGCATTGCTGCATCAGGCGGAAGGTCTCTGACATACAGACATAAGCCTCGGTTTCTTCATCTCTGAAATGGACATGATAATGAAACCCAACTTGCAGGGTCGTGATGAAGGTCAAATGTCTGGCAAGCATGCCTAGCCCATGAAAAGTCCTCCAGAAACATACCACTACATATGAGTGTGGTCTGATAACCCCAGAGAGTGGTTAAAAAAAAAAAGTCCTCCAGAAACAGTAATTATCATTATCCTTATTAATGGTAGTAATTGAGATGACGTCTGTACATGGATCCCTCTCAGAATCTGACATAAATTGGGGGGATAGTCAACATATATTCATTTGTGTGTTTGCTGATAACAGTACCTCAATGGTCCAAGAAACGTTGGTGGGGACTCTAAGTCTTCCTGAAGAATTCTCCATCACATTGTCTGTTCCTGGACATCCCAGGGGAGGACCTGGGAAGGCCAGTGGCATCCTTTTGTAGGTTCAGAAACAAAAAGAGGTGTCTGACAGTCTAGAATTCTGACAGGGGTAGAATTATACAAGCCAAAGGCCCTGATACTAATTTTGTTCTGGTCTTTGTATTAGTCTGTTTTTATGCTGCTGATAAAGACATACTCCAAATTGGATAAATTAGAGAAAAAGAAGTTTAATGGAGTCACAGTTCCATGTGGCTGGGGAGGCCTCATGATCATGGCAGACAGTGAAAGGTATGTCTTACATAGCAGCAGGCAAGAGAAAGAATGAATGCCAAGCGTAAGGGGTTTCCCCTTATAAAATCATCAGATCTCATGAGAATTATTCACTATCAGGAGAACAGTATGGGGGAACTGCCCCCATGATTCAATTATCTCCCAATGGGTTCCTCCCACAACACGTGGGAATTATGGGAGCTACCAATTCAAGATGAGATCTGGGTGGGGACACAGCCAAACTGTATCAGCCTTAGAGGATCTGTGAACATTTAGAGTGAGCAGCAAAAATCAGTCAGATGTTCTGATAATCCCAGACCATTGGTTCTCAAATTTTGGCCTGCATCAGGATCACCTGGAGAATTGTTAAAACACAGGCTGTTGGCCCCACACCCTCTGGGGACCTGGGGTGAAGCCCTATATTTTGCATTGTTTTTTTGAGACTGAGTCTTACTCTGTCACTTAGGCTGGAGTGCAGTGGCATGATCTTGGCTCACTGCAACCACCGCCTCCCAGGTTCAAGCCATTCTTGTGCCTCAGCCTCCTGAATATCTGGGATTACAGGTGTCCACCATCATGCCTGGCTAATTTTTGTATTTTTAGTAGAGACCAGGTTTCACCATGTTGGCCAGGCTGGTCTCCAACTCCTGACCTCAGTTGATCCACCCTCCTCGACCTTCCAAAGTGCTGGGATTACAGGCGTGAGCCACCACACCCAGCCTGTATTTTGCATTTCTAACAAGATCCCAGCTGATGCTGATGCACCTCTTCCAAAGACTGCACTTCAGAATCATGGTCTTGGAACGGCATTGCTCCACTGCAGTACTGTTGATATTTAGGGCTGGCTCATCCTGGGTTGTGGAGGATACTGTTTGGGGTTTAGCAGTATCTCTGGCCTCTGTTCACTAGATACTGGTAGCAGTTTTGACAGTCAAAAATGTCTCTAGACATTGCCTAATGTCCTCTGTGGGGCCAAACCACTCCTGGTCGAGACCCACTTCTGTAGACTGAGATGATTAGAATTGAATCCTCGTCACTTTGTGTCATAGTGGTATGACTGCAGTCACAGTGCTGTACCTCTCTAGGCTTCTTCATCCATTCACTGGGTACAGGAATGTTAACCTCATAAGATCCAAGCAGAGACTAAGAGATCCTTGCAGTATCAACCTTAGCTAGCAAATAGGAGATGTGCTCATAAAAACCGACTATGCTTTTGTAGTCAGTCACTTCTGAGCTAAGGATTGGGAGCTACTCACCCAGATAACAGCTGGATATTAGTTCAGGATGCCGAGAGGACCTTGTGGTTTTGGACTCCCTTGTCTGAATGGGCATGTTTAAAATTATTTTCTGGGGTTGCTTGATCCTAGATGAAGGTCTTCAATCTCTCCACTCCAACCAGCAATGAATGCATTCTATATGAATCTGCTTTCTCTATGAAAATGCTTTCTATATGAAAACTTCTTGGAAAAAAACCCATGGTACTAAGTAGATCTTCTGTGGAGAGCTCAAAAGCAATAACTCACATGAATTAACTGCTCAATGTGTACAGGCACTGTGCTTAGTGTTTTCTCTTATTAGAATTTAAAACAACGAACTAATCACTCACATTTTCTTTCACAACTTTGCTCTAGAAGTGAACTTTCGAATCTGGAGCAGTGCTGCCTTTTGAGTTCCCAAACAGCTGCTGTTCAGGAGTGATCTATGCTGGCACACACAGGGATCATGGATTTTTCTTTGGCTGTCAGCTTTCAAAATTACCCAGCAATCCCAAAATGAATTTCCACTAATCTGACAGTTTTGCCTCTCCTGACATGATGTACTGTATATTCAGTGGTCAGCAGGGACTATTTAATTGCAGTTAAGCCTGTGCTGTTCACTGTGGCATTTAAAGTAGAGCAATGTGTGATGCGGCTACCCTTGCTGACTCTCCAGGCCCAGATGGGTGGGTGGAACTCAGTTTTGGGGGGGAACTTTCTACCTGGGAACACTTAGTAATTAAGTTTTACTGGCTAGCAGCTTTAGTTTTTTTTTACTTTGAAGATTTAGAAATGTTAGAATCAAAACTAACATAAATCTCTCTACAAGGTAGAAAGAACTGAAATATTGGATGAATCTGATGATGAGTTAAAAATGGATTAGAAACTCAAGAAAGGAGAGATGAACATTTTTAGAGTGCATACCATATGCTTGGCAGTTTTCAGATGTTATCTCACTTTTCTCTTAAAGGATTCCAAAGACAAAGGGACATTTCCCCCCCATTTTATAGATGCAGAGACTGAGGTTTTAAAGAGATTAAGTTAATGCTGAAGATCTCTGTGTGTGTGAGCAGAGCCAAGATTAGAGCCCAGGTTTGTCTGCTAACAGTCTAGATTCTTATGCTCCACACTAAACTTCTCAAAAGATGCTAGACGTCACCGGTTTTCAACTGCTTATTTGACAGATGGAGAAACTGAGGTATAGACACTTCCAAGTGACTTGCTCAGAATTAGGTTATCCCAGACTCGGGAAATGGGCCTGTGGGCATTCATAAGCCTAGTTACTAAGAATAATGCAGTACTTTGCCGCTTATAAAGTGCTCTAACATCCATTATCTCATACTAAGTTTTGGGTTTCAAGCAATTCTGTTATATGAACTGATAACTCACAAAGAAAAGCATTTCGATAAGAGCTCTTTTTCCCACAGTTGAATTTAATGATAAATATCTGCAGTATAACCACAAAACCTACTGTAAGGTGCCGTTATCACTTGAACAGCAAAGACTTAAGTGCATTCACTTATTCAGCAAATATTATTAAGCTTGTAATGTGTGCTAAGCATTATTCCATGTGCTGAAAATACTTAAGTGAGTAAAATGTTTAAAAGTTCCCTACCCTAAGAGGGCTTACATTTTAGAGGGCACAAGCAGATGATTGACTAAGTAAATGAGTGAGATATATAGCACGTCAGGTTATAAGTGTGAGCCAGTGAAATCAAGATGGAAAGGACAGAAGGGAGCACTGGAAGCAGGGATCAAGTAGAGAGGGTGATGTTTGAATGAAAACAAAAGATATGAAGAACAAGCTTTTTGAATATGTAGGGAAGAGTATTCCGGGTAGAGGGAACAGCTAATGCTAAGACCTTGAAGCAGTAAATATGTTTTTATGTTTAAGGAACTGTAAAAAAGCCAAATGCATGAGAAGTTTGACTATTTTTGTGTTAATATTCTTATGGTACTTTAAAAAAATTGGGCTGGGCATGAGGACTCTCGTCTGTAATCCTAGCACTTTGGGAGGCCAAGGTGGGTGGATCACAAGGTCAGAGATAGAGACCATTCTGGCTAACACAGTGAAACCCAGTCTCTACTAAAAATACAAAAAATTACCTGGGCATGGTAGTGGGTGCCTGTAGTCTCAGCTACTTGGGAGGCTGAGGCAGGAGAATCGCTTGAACCCAGGAGGCAGAGATTGCAGTGAGCCAAGATCATGCCACTGCACTCCAGCCTGGCGACAGAGCAATAGTTGACATTCAATTAATTGTACATATTAAAATACACAATTTGATAAGGTTAGACATATGTATACACTCCTGAAATCACCACCACAATCAGTATAATGAATATATCCATCACCCGCAGAAGTTTCCTGGATCCCCTCTGTAATTCTCTTCCGTTCTTCCCCATTATCTCCCCAGCCCCACCTCCATGGCACTCCTGATCTGCTTCTTTTTTTCACTATAGCTTAGTTGGCATTTTAGAGAATTTTATTCACAGAATCTTGGAGTATATATCTTTTGGTCTGGCTTCTTTTAGTCTGCATAATAATTTTGAAATTCATGCATGCATGTTGTGTGTGTAAATAACTCATTTCTTTTACTTGCCAAGTATTGTTTGATTATGTGGACATTCTACAATTTATTTGTTTATTCATATGTTGATGGCGTTTGGGCCATTTTTGGTATGGAACTCTTGCAAACAAAGCCCTATGAACACGTCTCTACAAGTCTTTGTGTGAACGGATGCTTTCATTTCTCCTGGTTATGTACCTGGATTGGCCTGATGGAATCATAAGGTAGATGTGTGTTTAGCATTTTAAGAAACTGGAAAACTGTTTTCCCAAATGCTTCCACCAGCTGCATGTGAGGATTCTAGTTGCTTGGCATCATCATCAACACTTGGTATGGTTAGCTTTATAACCTTAGATATTTAAATAGTTAGTTACATAGTAGCTTTTCATGGTGATTTTGGTGATTTTAATTTGTATTTCCCTAGTGGTTAGCAATGTTGCAATTTTTCATGAACTTATATTCCATTCATATGTCTTCTGTGGTATAATATCTGTTCAAGTCTTTTCCCTTTTTAGGGATCTCCCTTCTCCTTCTTCTTTTTCTCCTCCTCCTTCAGACAGGTTTTACTCCCGTTGTCCAGGCTGTTGTGTAATGGTGTGATCTCGGCTCACTGCAACCTCTGCCTCCCAAGCTCAAGCGAGTCTCCACCTCAGCCTCCCAAGTAGCTGAGACTACAGGCACACACCACCATGCCCGGCTATTTTTGTTTTGTATTTTTTTTGTAGAGATGATGTTTCACCATGTTGTCCAAGCTGGTGTGGAACTCCTGCGCGGAAGCAATCCACTTGCTTCGGCCTCCCACAGTGCTGGGATTAAAGGTCTGAGTCACCGCACCCAGCCTTATTAAGTTTTGAGTATTCTTGGTATGATCTGGATGTAAGTAGTTTATCAGATAGACAGTTTGTGAATATTTTATCCCTATCAATGATTTGTGTTTTCATTCTTCTAACGTTCTTAATTTTGATTGAGTCCAGTTCATCTTTTCTCTCCTTTATAGATTGTGCTTTTGGTGTTACATCTAAGAAATCTTTGCTTTTGATTATTTTAAAAATTGATTTTCTCATCAAGTAAAAGAAAATGTACTTTCAAGTTCCTTTAAGTATATCCATGTTACCTAGGCAACCAAGTTATTTATCAATAGGTGATCATTTGTAATGATTTGTTAATAAAGGAATTAGAAAATCTTGCTTTGCATGATTCTTAAGGTACTTGAAAGACCTCATGCCCTTTAGTATAAGCTTATCCAGGACCTATGGCCAACTTGCAAGAGAGGCAGGTGTGATTTTCCGGGGAAAGCATCCTGGGCCCTAGCAATAGGAGACTGAATTTCCTTCTTTGTTCTGCTACTAATCAGAAGCTCAACTCTGGGCCAGAATTAAAAAAAAAAAAAAAATTCTCTTTTTTTTTAGTTTACATTTCCAATTGCAAAATTAAGGAGTTGTTCTAGATTTTTCTGTGCTCCTGCCTAGTCCTAACACTATATAAATGGGATATTGACAGTAAATTGAACATCTTTAGCAGGACCAGGACTAGAGTCAGGCAAGAGCAGCATCTAGGTCACAGCATTTCAGAAGCTGTATACTGTCAGGCTAGTCTAAGTCTTCATCCTGCATTTGCATAACCCTAACAAGGAGGCACTTGCAAGACAGTGGGAATGAGGGCCTCCTTGAATTTTATGCACCCCCCATAATTCTCTTGCCATATCCCAGTTCTGGTCTGGACCTTCAATGAGATAAGAGGGCATGACCCATGTGGGGGCTGTGATGCACTGGTACAGGGCATCTGGCATTGGAGTATGCATTCGAATTCCCTGGGGATATTGCTCATTCTCATTCAGAAGGTCTGGTGTGGGGCTTGAGATTCTGCCTTTCTAACAAGCTCGCAGCTGATACTTGTTCTGGTGCACAAGCCACACTTTTCATGCCAAGGAACTAGAATGGACCAGCTTTGTCCAAAAAGCAACTCATCTTTGTTCATTGCCATGTGGGAATTCAGTCCCGAGTGCCCACTGCTTGTTTTTGTTTTTGACAGAATCTTGCTCTGTCACCCAGGCTGGAATGCAGTGGCGTGATCTTGGCTTACTGCAGCCTTTGCCTCCTAGGCTCAAGCACTTCTTATCCCTCAGCCTCCTGAGTAGCTGGGACTACAAATGTGTGACACCACACCAGGCTAATTTTTGTGTTTTTACTAGAGATGGGGTTTCACCAAGTTGGCCAGGCTGGTCTTGAACTACTGATCTCAAGTGATCTGCACACCTCAACCTCCAAAGTGTTGGCATTACAGGTGTGAGCCTCCATGCCTGGCCCCAATGTCTCGATTAGTCAAAAGAGACACTAGAAATCTGTGGTGTTGTAATATGAAGTCTTTGAAAATCGGCAAAGAAATGGTAAGATCTCAGAACAAATTTAACCACAAAGTCAACATCCCCGTCCCCACACCAGCAATGTTAGCCTAAAAAAGGATGTCAGAGTTAGACTCAGTTTCATTTCTCAGGGTATCCTTGCTTGAGTTGACATGAAGTGATGACTCGGTGGCTCCCCTATTCCCCTCTTCCATCCTTTGCACCCACCGCATCTCCACTAGTAACTTTTCATCTTTGTTTTTTTTAGCATATCTCACCCTCTTTCTCTCCATTCCCAGCTCCTTACGTGCCTCAAAGCTTCTCTGGAGTAGAGAGCTGTCTCTTTTGTCAGCCCAGCATCCATTTGTTCCCCTTCTGACATCAGCCTGTTTTGTTCTGAAGATCCATTCTATCCCCACATTTAGCTCATGGGATTCAAACCAGACTGCACTCACCTTTCTGCACCTATGGCTTCTGTAGAGAACAGGCCCAAGCTGGCCAATCAGGGTATTCTATCACCCCAGCTCCAGTGATTGGCTGAGGAATGAGCACATTACCTGCCTAGCCTGAGTTATTAGGAAAAGGAGCCCTTTCCCTTGGAATTGATAAACTGTCAGTAATGGTATCTAACACTTACTGAGAGTTTACTCTTTACCAGGCACTGCTTTAAGAACATGCTTTTACATGAATTATCTCTTTTAATCCTCCAACAATCCTGTTTTGTATGTACTTTTATTGTCCTCATTTCACAGATTGGGAAACCAAGGCTCAGAGAGGTTAAAGAGATATGCCTGAAACCACATATCTTGCAAGTAGTGGAGCTGGGATTTGAACTTGTCAATGTGGCTGCAGAGCTGAGCTCTTGGAGACTAGGTTATACTGCCTAGCAGTGTGTAAGCCTGGAGCTGCTGGCAGTCATTTTGTAAGATTGCAGAGTCAACCTCAATGAGCATGAAAGCAGAGAGGAATGCAATACTGAGAGATGCAAAAGAGTCAGTGTTCCAGCAACGGGATCTGAAGTCCTAGATCAAACCTTACCTGATGCCAAGCTTTACCCACTGGACTTGCCAATTCTAAGACCCAAAATTTACCCTTCTGAGGGGATTGAGTTTGAGTGAGCACTTTTGTTTGTTTGTTTGTTTTGGCATCAGAAATATTCCTGATTAATACACAGTATGACATCGATCAAGACACATCGTTTCTTTAGGGATCAATTTTCTTATCTGTAAAATAAAGGGCTCATCAACATTCGTTGGTTGAATCTTACCTGAAACATTTTTCAGCCTTCATCAATCTCATCTAAGCCTTTGTTTCCATAGAGCAAAGCTGTTTAAGGAAGGAGGGGAAACTGCCATGGAGTCTTACTGTCCTGAGCGCAAATATGGTCTCTGTATTATCTTCATCTATTTATTTTCTGCCTCTCAGTACTAGAATGAAAACTCTAGAAGGGGAAGGAATTTTGTCTGATTTTCGTACTGCTGTATCCTCGGTATTTTGAACTGTATCTAACTCAGAGTACAATCTCAAAATATTTGTTTTGATTTTCATATATCTGTATAGATATTTGCGAAATGAGTGAAGAAATCCTTTTATGTCTTTACGGATAACAAGCTGGCTTGGGCATGGTTTTCAGTTATGAGTCCTTCCTTTCTTGCGGGAATGGTTATGGGTGGTATTTGTTCCTCTCTGTCTTATAATTCTCTCATCCATTTTTGACTTCATGGACAGAAACAATAGATGAAGAAAATGGAATTGTCTCTGAACAAAACACTGGCTTTTAATGCTTGTTAAACCCTGTAACATATTATCACTTCTAAACTCACAGTAAGCAGTTAAGTTCTTATGACGGATGAATTTCCAGTTTCAAAGATATAAGAGAGGACTGTGTCTTACTTTCCTTCCTATTTTACTTATATTTCAGTATCTTAGTAGAGCTATTACATGAAATTGATCCCCCAGCATTAGGAAACAGGATGTTGCTGACACTGTTATATGCTATTATATAATGTACCATTATTTGTCATTTTTGTCATGACATCCAGCCCAAGCTTCTCTCTTGCAAATAAACCTCGTTTTTGTTTTGGGTGGCAGCGTGCTCAGATCTAGGCAACACTAATGTTGCTGTAACTTGAGGATTTTTTCCTATGTTTTATGCGCTCTTCTAAGCCAGAAACATGCATTTTATGTATTTGATATATGAAGGCATGGATTGGTATTAGGATCAGCCAGTTGTGCTGTCACTGACCCTGAATTCCAGGCAGCTAAGTGTGGTCATGATGTTCTCCTGCCCAGTAAGAGGCTATGCAGCAGGTGAATTGCAGAAGAAGTGGGCTCTGCTGCCAGCTTTGCAACCTTGAAGAATTTGGAGAATTTATTTAATGTCTCAATAACTAAGGTTTTTTTTTCCTTTTCCTAAATCTCTGAAATGGGGTTAATAATACTTACCTCACAGAGTTGTTGCAAAGGTTAGATGAGCTAACATGTGCAACACACTTAGAAAAATGCTTGATCAGTTCTTCTCAACTGAGACAAGCCTGCCTCCCAGGAGACATTTGGCAATGTCAGGAGACACGTGTGGTTATCACAGCTAGGGTGGGAGTGGGGGCAGCTGCTTCTGGCACTTAGTGATTAGAGGCCAGGGATGCTGTTAAGCATTCTACAATGTACGGGACAGATCCTACAACAAGGAACAATCTGGTCCTGCGTGTCAGTCGTACAAAGTGAGAAATACTGGCCTGGACATTAATAAACACTCAGAAAATGGGAGCTGCTTGAGGGCTGCCCAGAAAATAACCTCCAAAAGAGCAGGGAGATACTGCTTTTTCACCCGCCCTATCCCTGGAGCTTAGATCGCTGCTTGATACATAGTCATTTCACAGTAAATATGTGTTAAATGAATGAATGATAGATAAAATGACCCTTGGGAAATGTTTGCTTGCATGACTATCCCATCCTCCTCTGGTTTCTTCCTACTTTGGTCTCAGTCATGGTAAGAGGTTACAGGAGCCATTTGCCACTAA